AGGTGGTTTGTGGAGTATCTTTTCTTTTGAAAATTTATCATATTCATTTCAAATCTTTTATTTTTCTTTCAATACTCATATACGGATTTCTTTCAATACTCAAGTCTTTTTTTGGGTCAACTTATTTACTACTAATAATAAAGGGTAAAATTGGCAAAGAAATTGCATGTTGAAGATTTTGTAACAGTTGCGTGCCGTAGATCTATAAAATCATCACCGACCGTCAAGTCATCCACTTATTAACCATTCAATTTCGTCTCGACACCCCGACCACCCCCCCCCCCCCCCCCCCCCCCCCCCCCCACCCAAAATCAATCTCTTTCATCTTTTCTCTAGAATCACGTGCACCAATTTTAATTGTACAACGTAGCTTAGAAGAGCACGTGACCGATTAAATGTTTGATGATATAATTGTAAGCTTGATCATTGGTGTAGGACGTCTGATGAGGTTAGGCTGGATTGAGATTGCCTACGCGTCACGCTGTCAGCACCCGTTTAGTACAACACACGTGTTAGCCACTAAGTGGCTGAAGATTACTTGGTTGGAAATAAGTTGTTTTTCTTCTTATACGGTGTGTCAACCTCTTGCATCTTACGACTCATCCAACACACAAAGACCTGAAAACAGAGAAGTTCCTTCCAACTCCAAAGTGTTTTTCATTTTATTTTTCCTTTCCAGTTGAAAACTTGAAATGATTGAATAATTTGTTGTAGTGCCAATCTATGAAAACAGAACAAGTTGCCAAAGAGTAGGGCACATGATTGCACCCTTGTGGAAGAAATTCGCAAGTAGCCAAATGCAACGACTTAGACTTGTAAGAAAGGAAGAATGGACAAATGGATTTAACAAAAGGAACTTACATGGAAGTGGGGGTTTTGGCTCGGTGCAACTTACAGGGCACTTTCAAGAGCTTTCATATGGAATGTGTGTTTTCGGTGTCAAATCCATTTGTCTGTTTGTTTTCATTGCAATGACTTAGACTTAGAGTAGGGCACATGACTTATACTTGTAAGAGTAGGGCACATGATTGCACCCTTGTGGAAGAAATTCGCAAGTAGCCAAATGCAACGACTTAGACTTGTAAGAAAGGAAGAATGGACAAATGGATTTAACAAAAGGAACTTACATGGAAGTGGGGGTTTTGGCTCGGTGCAACTTACAGGGCTTCAAGAGCTTTCATATGGAATGTGTGTTTTCGGTGTCAAATCCATTTGTCTGTTTGTTTTCATTGCAATGACTTAGACTTAGAGTAGGGCACATGACTTATACTTGTAAGAGTAATGCCCATGATTGCACCCTTGTGGAAGAAATTCGCAAGTAGCCAAATGCAACGACTTAGACTTGTAAGAAAGGAAGAATGGACAAATGGATTTAACAAAAGCAACTTACATGGAAGTGGGGGTTTTGGCTCGGTGCAACTTACAGGGCAATTTCAAGAACTTTCATATGGAATGCGTGTTTTCGGTGTCAAATCCGTTTGTCTGTTTGTTTTCATTGCAATGACTTAGACTTAGAGTAGGGCACATGACTTATACTTGTAAGAGTAGGGCACATGATTGCACCCTTGTGGAAGAAATTCGCAAGTAGCCAAATGCAACGACTTAGACTTGTAAGAAAGGAAAAATGGACAATGCTACTGGTAAGAAGGAAGAATGGACAATTGGGCATCTGTTTTCACAAATGTACAAGAACTTGCTATATTGTACATATATGTCTCTATACGTCTCTATGTATTCTGTACAAGAACTTGCTATTAGATATGGATGGTCAATCCAGTCTTCTTCGCATGATAAGTGCCCTTCACTCTGATTTTTTTTTCTTCATTTTTTTAATAGGAATATCTAATTATTCAGGTACAACGGGACTTAAATTCATTGCATCAGGCTATGGTGAGTTCATAATCCATTGCTTGAAAGGTTCTTATTCTCTCTGTTTTGTTAATGTCTTCTTCTCTCTCTTTCTTGAAGCGGGGGAGGTTTAAATTGGTGAGTAGGTTCATGCACTTGAGAAGGCTGTGACTAATTGAGTTCTGTTCTTTTGGAAATGAGGAGGGCCTGACGTCATCTTCTTAACCAAACAATAACACATTCAAAATCAAAGTAACCAAACAATAATATAGATGGTGGAAATCAGATAAAAAGTTGAAACTTACACTCATTTTTGTATTCTAAGATTTGTCAATTTCCTTTGGTTCGAAACAAAAAATTAAATTAGAAGAAGGAGGAGGAGGAACTTATAGAAGCCGGAGAGTGGAGCAGCAGATCTGCGAGAGAGAGAAAGAGAGAGTCATGACAGAGAACACAGACCAAGCCAAGAGAAATCGATTAGAACAATCTCTTCAGATTCCTTAGCAGACCTCTCCAAATCCGTATCTTCAATTCGCAAAACAAATTTCCCTCCATTGGACCTGAGCCAACACAGATAGTTATACTCATATTCCTTTGAAAACATAGATATCTTGTGAGATTCGTCACTCGTTGCTCATCAAATCTCTGTATGAAGTAGTCGCCAAATTTACCTATGACAGAACTGCTCAGATCCCAAACCCTTGAGGTTTCGCAAGATGGGAGAGAAAGTTCGAGATCAGAGACGAGTGAGAGCCAGTCGTAGGGGACAATCATGACTCAGAGGTCGAGAGCAGAGAGAGCCGAACTTTGTGTGATTTTTGGGATTTTTTTTTTGAGAGTTCGAGAGCAGAGAGAAGAACTTTGGAGTTTTTAGAGAGAGAGAGAGAGAGAGAGAGAGAGAGAGAGAGAGAGACGAAGGAGATCAACTCATTTACGGGGCACATGGTGCAGGAAGAGGTCGTTAGATCTCTTAAAGAATTGAACCTTGATGCCTTAGCATTTTCATCTTCCTGTTAAAGTTTTAATTTCTTAAAGAAAAATGAAATTAGTTTTAATTTCTTCATCTTCCTGTTAAAGTTTTTCTATGATAATTATAATTTGAATTAAAGAGCATGAAACATAGTTTGCTTAAAGAATTGAACCTTGATGCCTTAGCATTTTCATTATTGATATTTCGTTTTTTTAACTCAATCTCTATAAAATTATTTTTCCATTTTGTTTGTCACTTTTATTTTAGTACGTTTAATTATTTCTTTGTGTTTAGACATTTGCCTATTTGCTCCTTGAGAATTTGATACTTGAACTTCCAAGATTATTAATACGTAAGACTAATTGCACTTGCGTAGACGCAACAATGCCTTCGTCTTCTTGCTCATTTTAGTAATTGGGTTGTTTCACTATTTTATGCAGAAGCTACTATGGCTAATAAAGTAGCACAATGTTGCCAACACGTCACATGGGGTTGGGTTAAAGGCAACAAAAAATGGGTTTTGATCAGAGTCCAAAAATTCGATAATTTCACCGATTCGGCGAAATTATCGTTTTTTTGGGGCTGCGAAATTTTAGCACAATTCCAATTATATATTGTGATTTTGTCGATATTTTCGTCCAATTTCTCAATTTAAATGGTCATAATATCGCGATATTATCGATAATATCGTGACTTGAACTGTGTCAAGAATGAAACAATTTAAGCTCTGAGCATGATGGGGTTCGAACCTCTCCCAACGCGAATGTTTGCAGCCACTTAACTACCACATTGCTGATGACTTTGTGATTATAAACTATGGAATTTAGTATATATAATATCCCGACTTGAACTTTCAAAAATTAAACAATTTAAAATCAGCGCACAGTGGGGTTCGAACCCCACCCAACTCCGAATTTTTGGAGCCACTTAACCACCACGCCAGTCATCATTTTGTGATAATAAGCTATGTAATATGTATTTATAATATATGCGAGCTGTTTCTCAAAATAGAAATTAACATAATTACTTATTGTTTTATATTGTTGATCAGTTACTTAATTACTTAATATAATTTATTTCTTTTCTATTTAATCCATTTAATGTTATTGATTATTTTATTATTCATTATAAGTTCTTACATTACTAAATTCCCCTTCAAATTGTTGCTTAATTACTTAAATCTCTATAATATTTATTTTCTTTGTTTACTACTTAATTCTTTCTTTCATAAATTTATTTATGTTCTTAGTTAATTTTCAATCTTCACTATTATTTTTATACAAATTTATAAATAAACCAATCATAGACATGTATTTATAAAAAAACCCAAGCACTATTAAACATAGAAACACACCCAAAATCAACAATTGTATATTTTTTGGGTGTGTTTATAAATGAGTTTTGAGTGTGTGTAATGATGGGTTTTGGGTGTGTTTATAAAGTGTTTTGGGTGTTGGGTTTTTTTATAATTTCAGTCTCCATTTTGGGTGTTTTAGTGAAACTCCCTATTTTTTAAGTATGGTAAAGTGCCTAATTTTCATGAAAAGTCAAGTTGGTTTAATTATTTTTCAATTTTTGATAAATAATAAATATAAGAACGTGTACCATGTCCAATGAATAATGTGAAATAAGGTTACACATGTATCTTACCATGCAATTTATAAAGTGTAAAATATTGTACTAAAAAATGATAAATAAATTACTATGGGGTGTTTAATTCTCTTCATTAATTACTCCATATTTTCTAAGTCACAGAGTTTGTCAGCTCGCAATATAATCAACTGAAATCACTCAAACCCACTATGCAATGCATTTCCTTCCAATTTTTTGTGTCAAAATAATAGATGATTGACTAAATAAACTTCTTCTAAAGTTTCATTAAAAATTTCCATGTATTTATCACAATTTCCGTAGTTTTTATCCAATTTTTATCGATATCGATATTTTTCCGATATTTTCATCGATATTTCCGTGTTTTTGAACCACCGATATTTCCGAAACTATCGATATTTAAGACCTTGGTTTTGATTGATGTTATGCTGTGCAGGTTTGCTTGATATGCGTAATACAAGTCATGCTATTTGGCAAATATCTGCTAATTAAAATGATAAAAAAACAAAATAAAAAACACCCTTATAAGCTTGTCTTACATGCATCCTCTTTTTATATATTTTTATAGAATCTATAATTTCTCCAAATGTTGGTACAGGAGCTCCAAAAACCCAGGAAACAGCTTCTGAACACCACGGTCCACATCTACGACATTAACAGAGAAAGCCTTTAACTGGTGATAATGATTATTCAAATTCCTCAAGAAACTGAGAAGGTCTACCACTTCCCCAGAGTAGTTCCGATAATGACTGTCATAAGATTTTTTTATAAATTTATCCATGGAACCAAGGACTTCAGTAGAGTTCCAGGATTTGAACCTATCAAAATCGGATAATTGCAAAGCTTTTTTCACTGCAGTATGTGTAGCAACCGTTCCCCACTTACGACGATAACGAGCAAACATACCCATCCTTTCTTCAGAGCTTAACAAGAACGGATGAGATGCCAATTTCTCGACACAATCAGGATAGCTGAAAAGACCAAAAGGACATCCTATAAGAAATGAAGTAGGAAGAAGAAAGACAAAAAGTTAAAAGTAGTAGAGAACTCACTCCAAACACTCAGCATTGTCGAAGAACTTCAAGACGCTACTACATTCCTTCCATGAATATTTAGACCCCAAAATTTTCTTGAACACGACATCTAACATCATCCTAAGTTGCATTAAATCTTTTTTCTTTTTTTCGTCTTGTTCACTGAGACTCAAGTCAGCCAAAGATCCCTCAACGTTTATTACTTTCAGCTTGTCATGAAAAAACACAAAACTAGATTGCTTATGCAAACCACCATGGAATAAGCCCTTAGCATGAATGCTACGCACACCACGAATCAGATCCCTACATAAATACAAAATAATTATGCCAAAAATAATTAAAACGAAAAAATAAACAGTAACCTTATAGAATTTATTTATTTACTAAAGTAACCTTATAGAATTAAAGCTAACAATTTACCCAATGGATGTACGCCAAAAGTCTTGAAGACGGTCATCAGGAGTCCGGAGAGGTAATTTAAGCTGATCATCATAAGGAACAATTTCTTTCGACTGAACCTTGTAGGCCCAATCTTTGAGAGGTTCAAAACGATCATAACAAACACACGATACACCCTTCCTTATCTCTATGTGATCAGGCAGTTTGGGAAAATACTTCTGCTTGATGAACAAATCCTTATGAGGCCGTAAAACCACATCAGCACCAACTTCACAAGTCCTATGAAAAATTAATTCTGCCCTACTAGCAGCATCTATCCCATCAACTCCGTCAACTTTTACAAATGTCACGGGTATCGGTTTCCCATCACGTTTGAAAGATAAAGATCCCTTATACCATTCTTCTGATTTATTATAATCAAATGACAAACTGTAAGAACAAACCCTCGGTCCAATAACCTTGTCATGTGAATCATTCCTATCATACTCATCTTTTGCAAAATTAAAGAACTCTGTCTGGTCCTCCATTTCAAAAAATTAACAATAAAAGGAATCTGCAAGAAAACCAGTATGGTAATTACAATATAGCTAGCAGTCAAACAATTCCGCTAACAAGATGACAGGGAAGAAGATGTTTTCTTAAACGAAAACTGGAACTTTAATTTTGCAGAGTTCAAATCACAATTGGGAAAAAGACCTTTCTTCGGCAACCAAATTTGTAAATATATATGCAGAAAATCCAACACTACTTTGGCAGAATATTTAACAACATACCTGAATTTGGCAGACGCTCCAATTCAAGGAAATCTAAAATAAAAATAATTCACAAAAATTCGCATAGGTTAGATTGGAAACCAAGGAAGAAGAGAACAGAAAAGAGGGAAACAATAGACCACAGCAACAATCGAAACTGAGAAAGCAATAGACAACAGTCAATCTGGACAAGCCAATAAAGAGCCCCACAACAGCTTACTGTACCAGACACAAAACAGATAAAACACTCGGCATGACGCAAAAACGATAAAAACTACTCATAGTTCAAAAGAAAACAGGTAAAGATGATTGAACAAAAACGACTCAGCTCAAAAGAAAAAAAACAAAAACTACTCAATGTTTAGAAGAAAATATAACAAAAGGTAGAACATGAATGAGAAAACATAAGGTAACCTAACCTTTGATTATCGTACAATGAAGCAAAAACGATATGGATTCAATGACAGATCCAACAGTACCTTTGATTAAGAAGAGCGAAGCAAAAAATATATTGAATCAAAGAGAGATCCAAGAGGAAAAGCCGCATGTAAATTATATAGGGTTTGAACTAAATCACTTACTGAACTGGCCCTAAAACAACAATCTCATAAAATAAGTAACAAACTCAATGATTATAAAACGGGAAACAAAAAACATCGTATGAGGAAATAAGCAATGGCGGACCCAAGAATTTTTATAGGGCTAGGCTAAATAATAATTTTTTTTTAGAGAAGATATATTATAAGCTTTTTTTTTATTTTTCATCATGAAACAAAAATGTAAATAAAATTTTATAAATCAAACAAAGTCACAAAAATGCTAATTAATAATTCAAGTTGCAAAAATAAAACATTTATTAACAATCTCCGAAAAAATTCACCCAAACCCTAAATCATAAAAACTTAACAACAACAATTAAATTGGAAAAAAAAATATATATATATTTATGTATAATACTTACCAAAATTGAAGAATCCACTAAAGATAGATTGGTACAATTTTTTAGAGGAGGAGAGCTATTTCCTCTAGGCTCTCAAGGGGTGGTTAGAAGAATTTTTTTGATGTTTGCTCTCCGTGGGTGTAGCCTAATATGTCACGCCCCGGACCCGAGGGTAGGTGGAAATCCCGTGCCCGGTGCGTGAGAAAATAAAATAAAAAGAAATAAAATAAAAAGATGTCGAAACATGAGTTTAAAATAAACTTCTCTTATAAAAATACATCCAAAACTTACAACTTTACAATAAATAAAGCTCTAACATTCTCATCTAATTCAGCCTCAACTGGTTTATTCCTTTTCTTGCCTACTAATTCATCTGAAAATTTAAACAGGGTGAAGGATGAGCAACCACAGCTCAGTAGGGACATGAGACCTTACCACAGTAGATTGATATAACTAAATTAAGTGACAAGCAATCACACAGCCAAATATCACATTAATAATAATAATAATAATAATAATAATAATACATGAATGCTCTTCAATTCTAATCCCGTTAATTCATATAATTGGACAAGCAGACCTGCACGTCCCATACCATGCTTATACCACTTGGTCCCGAATGCCCATTTATATGAACTAACACCCATTTCAATCATCCCATAATTCCCCTTTTGTTAGTTATCTTGTCTAACTCCCTTTCGCCAGTCCCGAATCACCCAATAAAAACCATGTGCACTGTGGGATCCCTGAGACCTGGTACCTGCCAAGAGTTAGACTCAACTACACAAAAGACTATTTCCATTACCCTCTTTTCCATTATTATCTTCTCCACCCAACAACTCCAACCAATTACCATGACATGATATAATTATGCCAACATTATTCAAATAGTTCACAATACATAAATATCTCATATCAAGAACATTATACAATATCACACATAATATAGAGTTCACGAAATTTAATTAAATCAATCTTCTGTAAAGGCTCCCAAGAAATCCCTACCTCGTTTCCAAAGCATTGCTCCAATTTAAGAAAATACAAGCTAAGCCTTATATCTCTTCCAAGAATTTCACCATCATCAACACACACACACACACACTCTCTCTCTCTCTCTCTCTCTCTCTCTCTCTCTCTCTCTCTCTCTCTCTCTCTCTCTCTCTCTCTCTCTCTCTCTCTCTCTCTCACGTTGCATGATATCTCTTCCTTATTAACACTCCTATTTATAGGCAGTGAGATGGGGGTAATAATCGAGAGGATAATAACTAAAGCCACTATCTTATCTTATACAAAAAGATAACTTGGTTGCCACTCTTTTATAGAAGCTGATATGTGCCAACGCCAGGAGATATATTTCCAAAGGCCATGCCACCTGTTGAACTTATAAACTCCTCCTCAAGCTAAGATAAAGCCTAGTCACCAAATTGTAAGCATGAGCTGTCCAAATGCATGGTAATGCATCAACTAATTTAATGGAAAAAGCCACCTCTAGCTTACTAATTTAAATATATCTCCAAATTAAGATAAGAGAGAACAATCTTTCTCTCCAAGAAAACAATGTAAGAATGCCACGTCTAAACTCTTAATCCATGTTATTAATATATATGTATATAAAGCACCCAATAACCATCTAATAGCATCCAAGGAATAATGAACAAATATATAATTTAAACAAACCCTTTTTTTTTTTTTTTTTTTTTTATTTTTTATTCGAAAGAACATATGTATATAATAGAATAATATATAACTATTGAAATGGTATTATAAAAGTAAAACAACTATAAAGAAAATGGACTCTCACATAATATCAGTACTGTTAGATTAAGAAGAGTGAAGCAAAAAAATATATTGAATCAAAGAGAGATCCAAGAGGAAAAGCCGCATGTAAATTATATAGGGTTTGAACTAAATCACTTACTGAACTGGCCCTAAAACAACAATCTCATAAAATAAGTAACAAACTCAATGATTATAAAACGGGAAACAAAAAACATCGTATGAGGAAATAAGCAATGGCGGACCCAAGAATTTTTATAGGGCTAGGCTAAATAATAATTTTTTTTGAGAGAAGATATATTATAAGCTTTTTTTTTCTTTTTTTTTATCATGAAACAAAAATGTAAATAAAATTTTATAAATCAAACAAAGTCACAAAAATGCTAATTAATAATTCAAGTTGCAAAAATAAAACATTTATTAACAATCTCCGAAAAAATTCACCCAAACCCTAAATCATAAAAACTTAACAACAACAATTAAATTGGAAAATATATATATATATATTTATATATAATACTTACCAAAATTGAAGAATCCACTAAAGATAGATTGGTACAATTTTTTAGAGGAGGAGAGCTATTTCCTCTAGGCTCTCAAGGGGTGGTTAGAATAATTTTTTTGATTTTTGCTCTCCGTGGGTGTAGCCTAATATCAGTACTGTTAGAATAGGTCAATAGGTCAAGTTGGTAAAGCCTTGGCGTGAGTTCTACTTCTAATCAAATTTATATAAGTTTGGATTGATATTTATTATTTCCTATATGTTTCAAGAATGGGTTTATTTAAAATAAAGTTATTATTTACTTTACTTAAATTGGGCTATTATTAGTTTATTATATTTATTGGTGTAGTGGACTAATATTTATTGGAGTAGGAATAAACTTAACTATATTTAATATTTAAAAATCATCCCCTAGGTTGGAGCCCACTCCAACCTAGTAATAGATCCGCCCTTGGAAATAAGTAACACTGACAAATTCTGATACTAAAGCTGTAGAAAATTTTAAAAAGAGAAACTAAAAAGAATAAAGAAATCAATACTTAGCCAAAATGTTTTGCAATGAATTACATAAATACAATTAAAAACCGAAATACCCATATTTATTAGACCTTGAAACGGGTAACAAACTTTTATGTCGGTATAAGATAACTAGTTAATATATACATATATATATATATATATATATTAAAAGGAAAAAAGAATACCAGCCTCAAGAATTTTACACGAGTTAGAAACTTTCCTCATATCACACCCCAAAGCAACCATAATAAAACTCCCCTCTACAGCGGCATCCCCAAACCCTAAATTCCCTTGTGCCTCAATTTAGTATTTCAATAGCGAACGCCTTATCATCTGTTATCATGGGGTATCGGAAAATATCTCAGCTTTGTGCCGCCGCCGCTGACCTCACCTCGGGTCAAGACCATGCCTTAACGATGGCTTCACACGAAGATGAGCTCCTGGGCAAGATATCAGAGATCGAGAAATCCCTAGCCGCACTTTCCACCCAGAAAACCCAACTGGTTGATTTGAAGAAATCAATATCGGATGAGCTCGACCTACTACGCGCCAGTAGGGCTCACAGTCACAAACATGGGGCTGTTCATCCTTACCCAAGGTCAGTGCATGGCCTAGTGGATTTCATATTTTCTTCTTAATTTCTGTTTCTCTGTAAAATTGTTGTTTTTCTTGATTGGCCTTTATGTTTTAAAAATTCACTTGGCTTGTTCTATATTTATCTATTCTCTGTCCAGATTGCCCATGAAGGAGGAGGCATCAATGACGGTAAATCAGGGGGAACATAGGTCTGTGTTTTTAATGATAACTTTCACCAAGGGAAACATAGGTGCCCTATATGAAGTCAAATTCAAATACGGGGCAAAAGTTGATGATATAGACGGAAGAGCCGTGCTTGAACCCGTAGTCACGTTCCCTTGTTTTAACGACTGTGCAAGGATTTTCAGCCGCTCCCAAGTATATGTATTTACAGAGGATGCTTGCGTTAGGTCATTCGATACGAAAACTAGGGAATTAGATCCCTATGTACCTCCTACCTTAGAGTTGAAGCCGAGTGGAACATTCGTGTCTGCATATGACAGACTCTATTTTCTTGAAGAAGCATCGCCCTTTGTAGCAGATCCGCTTCCATCTTTTGCGAAATACAATCCTGATGAGAACGATTGGGAGCGAATGCCTGAGTTTCCAATTCGTTATCCTTATCCTATGCGGGTAACTGGTTATGCTGTTTGTTATGGACTTATTTTGTATACACTAATTGACGGACACGAAAACTCTGATGTCGTTGCTTTTCACGTGGGTGGAATGAATTGGATTCGAGTGGAAGTTGACACTTGTGATTATACTCCTTTCCGAGGGAGGGCTGTGGTTGTAGACAAGACTATATATGCCTTGGATCTATTTCAAGTGGATGAGATTATAGCATTCTCCTTGAAGATGAACAAACGCGTCGACGGTAGTATTGCATACACACTAATCAAGTTGTGTAAATTGGACGGCCTGAAGATTGCGTCTCCACCATGTCCATTTGATGAGCTTGAGAGTGACTATTTCGTTCATTTGGGGAACCTAGACTTTTTTCATGTCAAGACTGGCACTAATTATGAATTTTACAAGGTTCAACATATTTGTATCACCACTTTTCAAATATTTGTTCGAGAAGACGGAATACATATGATCAAGACATTACATTCAACTGTTTTTCCTATGGATATCGAGGCTTGTGGCCAGTTCACGCTCACGTTCGGCTTCACTCCGTAAGTTCTCTTCACATTTATTGTGTTTTCATCAATGACATTAATTTTTACGTTGGATTCTATTATAATTTGTATGTATCAAAACCCTTATGTAGTGTGTGGTGATTATGACTCGCAGAGAGTGCGATGATTATGAACCCATAAAAGGGGAGAGTGTAGCTAGCATGAAACAGCCCAAATAAGAAGATGAAACCACTATCGAAGAGAATTATTTGATGTGTGGGAGGTGAAAGAAATGTGTTTACATGAAATCTTTTTGTTTATTTAATGACTGTGATGAAAGAAACGATGTTATTGATTGAAAGAAATGGGTTTTGCAGATAGAAGGCAAGGAGGAAATAAGCCCTAGGCAGCATGGGACAGCCAACCAGAAAAAAACCCCCACAAACGGAAAAAAAAAGAAAAAAAGAAAAGAAAAGAAAAAAAAGAAGAAGCGGATTGAAGGAGGAACATGTAGTAGAAAATAACATGTAATGTAAATACTTGAGGAGCAGGGAATCTATGTTGGATTAGATATTATTGTGGCATTTTACTGCCATCTAGGCCCTTGGTGTTATAGGGGAAAAACGATGTTATTGATTGTGATATTTAGCTGATAGCTGATATGATACATTTGATTTGATCTCTTCAATTATTTTTTCTTTTAAAATTAAGCATTCACAAAGGGAGTGTAAAATTAGACATGGTATGTGATGCGTAGGAATTTGACGTGTGTGTGTTGACTGTTGCGTTGCATAGAAGAATGCACAGGTTTAAATTTTGCTGTAAAAGGACCTGTTTATATTTTCAAATTGGAAAAACAAGATGTCATGTTGCCCAGATGCTAAACCCAACCATTACTTATTTACAAATAACGATTATTTGACCAAAAGACGGAAAAAAGAAGAAGATTCACTAGTCAAAAACAAGGAAAGTCATGTGGCGAGTCACGTGTCCGGTTTCAAAGGCAAGCGCGCTCGCCACACGGCCTCCTCTACCTCGTCTTCTCCCACCATACTCTCTGTCTTCCTTCCCTCCTAAATGCCAATAGTTCAGTTAACTTACCTGTTTAGTCAATTACATTTTTCTGTGTCAATATAAACCACCAAATTTCCACGAAATCCTTTCTTACATTTCCATCTGCAAGTAGGTATATCAGTAAATTTTACATTTCCTCAATCTAATTATGCATTTCCTCGGGGTATTTTCTTCTTTCTTCTCTACGAAACAGTTGCAAAATGAAAATTTAGAGATGGGGTTTCTGAAGGAATGGTTAAAGATACAAGGTACATACATTATGTTGTCGAATCAGTATATGTTTTGTCCCTATCGAAATCTACTTAACTTTGGGGAATGTTGGATGTGCTGCCTACTATAGTTATTTGCTTCGGCCGATCCTGAATTAGAAAAATATATGTAACAAGTGACGGGATACTTTTTCGACTAGAATTTACTGACAAATTTGATGGTATCTATGTGAAGGAAAGAATACCTATGATTCGATTCAAATAAGTGCAAATCTTGAAAGAAAGTGTTCACTTAGGCCCTAACAAAGAATTTGATTCCCTGTTGATATACAGCTGATTTATTGGGGATAAATCTCTTTCAGATGTGATAAACAAAACAAAAAGAACAGGACCTGCCTAGCACCTAGGCGCCCACCTAGCGATTAGGTGCCACTTGTCAAAAAAATGTATAGCCGCGTGGATATACTTTTTTTTAAGATTAAGACCATACCATAGTCCATTATTTAAAAGGTATAGCCATGCGGCTATACTATTTATTAATAGAAATTTTTTCCTAATTTTTATACTTTATAGATATTAATTTGTTGGTTTCAACACATCTAAAGTAGATATTCAAGCGGGAGAAATTTCACAGTAAATCAAAGGGATGTATTATTGAAAAATAAGTACGTACATGTATGATACAAGTATTAAATGTGAAAATGCTAAATTCTTTATACGGGTAATAACTCTGGAAAAGTAAAAAATCAAAAGGGAATAATAAAGACTCAGGTAATTGCCTAATAGTAATGGATAATGCTCTAAGCTACTCTTATCGATAAACGAAAATCGAGAGTCAAGAAAATATATTTTGTGCACTCAACTAGACCCTTCGTCTCTTTCTCGTCTCAACCCCTCCCTTCTCATTTCTCTTTCAAGCACGGCATGATAGGACTCCTCCCCCTCCTCTCTCTTCCTTTCTCAATCTCTTTCGTTTTTAGCTTGCTACTCTCTTTGTGGGGAAATCTTGACTGGATTGTGGAGAAAGTGGAGTTTAGGGGGTGGGGACTTTAGATATGTATCCAAATCTACTTGGATCTTGGATTTTCTGGCCCGATCTATTTGGATTTTGGGTTTGGTGGGTTTTTTTTTGGTGTTCTTGTTATAGGTACTTGGTTTGGCTGTGACTCCGACTGTGGTGGGGTAGTGCTGGCATCGACAACACTGACGACGACAACTTTATGGGTATTCTTTTCAAGTCATGCTTTCTTTACGACCATAGTCATGGACTGGGGTTGGCTGTTGCTGGTTTTCAGTTTTTGTTTTGGTGCAATAAGTGCATCAACTGTGTTGAGTTTGATGCGTGGTTGTGGTTTATCTTTGGGAGAATTTGGGTTTGTAAGTTGCATTATTGGTGATGAACTTGGTTATTACAGATTTGAAGTGATTAAGCCCGATTGTCTGTGGTCTTGTGTGGCATTAAGTTGGCCATGCATGGCTTCAAGTGGAAGTGTACCATATAAGTTTGTTGTTGTGATCCCTCCGTGTTTGGTGCAACCCTTCGGGGGCATTTGCTCTAGCCTTTGAGCCTTTTGTATTTGTAATGCGCTTATGATGTAATTTATAAATGCAATCTCCATAAAAAAAAAAAAAAAACAAAAGATAAAGAAAGAAAATCGGAAAAGTTTTTTTTTAAAAGGATCCCATTATATATATAGTATAGATGCTCAACTATACTATTTATTAAAAACAAGTGTTTTTTTTTTCAAAAAGCCCTAGAAAGCCGCCTGGCTTACAATTTTAATTAATTAATTAATTTTAAAAAAAAGGGGACCTGCATAGCGCCTAAGCACCCACGTGTCTAAAAAGATACCACTGCGCAGCTGTACTATTTTTTATTATAAAAAGACCGTAGTATATACGCACGATTGTACTCTTAAAATATAGGCTTATTTATTGTAGTGCCCCCTGAAACAATAGTCAAATCTCACTTTACCCCCTAAAGGTTAAAGTGACCCAGAGCCTCTTGACTAAGGTTTGGCGGTTCACTTTGGCCCCATTTTTAACTTTGTTAAAATTTCAGTTAAAAACATTGATGTGGCACAAATAGGACCTATTCTTTTGTTGAAATATATGATATGTCAGTGCCACATGTGAAAAAAATAATAAAATATTTTATACTAAAAAATATAGAAAAATACGTTACTTCTCTCTCCCCTTCTCTCTTTCTCTATACCTGACTCTCTCCCCCACCAACCTACTTGGGGCAGCCATCCTTGCCCCACCCCCTCCCTACCAGCTCTTCCCCTTCATCTTCTCCACCCCAAAATCCTCAAAACCACTCCTTCCCCAACCAAACCCACCTCAAAAATCTCAACTTCATGTTGAGATTTTCTTGCCTACCAAATAGAACCCAAAAACTCCAATAATTTTCTAAACCCTAAAACAAAAATAAAATTTAATAATTTATAAACAAAGGGAGTGCCCCAACCATCTTGGTTTTGATTTCTTGAATGGTTTTGGGTATTATCCCTCTTGATTTGTTCTTGTACTCCATCCACAGTGCAAGTTGGTGTGCTCCAGCGCCGTTTGCAAGGAGTGATTTTGAGGGTTTTGGGGTGGCTAAGCAAATTAGAGCGAGGGGAGGAGTTGGTGAGGCAGTGATGGCTACCCCAAGTGAGTTGGTGGGGGAGGTGGTCGGGACCTTCATAATTGCATTTATACTTTATAGATATTCATTTGCTAGTTTCAACATATCTAAAGCAAATATTGTTGAGAGACAAATTCCACAGTAAATCAATCTGAGAGTTCAATTTTTTCTTCTTTTTTTGTGGGAATATTTACCTTTGATTTGCTTTGTTCTCTTGAGTGCTACTAAATTCTGTTATTGCATACATTATTTGTCCTAGAGAACTGCATTTTGAGTTGGAGTGTTCTTGGTAATTACTTCAATTTTCAAACAACACTTTACATGAAAAATACTTCCACTCTTTTACTACTATAACCATAAATCTTTGTTTGAAATTCTTGTTTTGGTTGGCAAAGAGATTGCAAAATCACCATCTTGTATTTTTGTTACAACAAGTAAGAAGTAATCTTAGCCTCTCATATTCTTTCATAGTTAGTAAAATATGGAACAGAAAAAGTACGAATGAAATACATATGTGCTTTATTCGGCAAAATTTTGGCAAATTACAACTGAAAAATTCGGCCGCTATATAATATATTAAATTTTTTAATATATATTATTTTTATTCAATAATATATGAAAAATATGTGCATAATAAGACGTGAATTTTACTGAGTCTTTAAGACGTGTACAGAAAAATGGATGTACTATTGGAAAATACGTACGCACGTGTATAATACTAGTATTAAACGTGAAAATGCTGAATTTTTGCCGCTTGGCTATACAATTTTTAAAATATATATATATATATTCGAGTATAGTTGTGTGGTTCTACTATTTATTAAAAGAAAATTAAAGGAAGGACCTTCCTAGTTTCTATACTTTATAGATAATAATTTGTGGGAATGTTTTCCTTTGATCTACCACGTTCTCTCGAGTGTTACTAAATTCGGTTATTGCACATTCGTACAAAATTGCATGCTGAGTTGGAGTGGTCTTGGTAATTTTTGCTTCAATTTTCAAACAACACTTTATATAAAGAATAACCTCTCTTACTACTATGCCCATAAATCTTTGTTTGAAAACAACACCCACACCTTTAGGCAGAAAGCAACATCAAAGACATTGAATCCTTTTACTGTAATACGTTAACGGTCATGAGTTGGATAGGACAAAGGTAAATTTCTTTTGAGAAACTAATTCATCAATCAGTAACTTAAGGTTATAATTTTTGGCTTATGAAACTTATTATTTTTATTTTATTTTAATTACTCAAGTTTTTAATTGCCATTCCAACTTGGTAGTGAAAAAAATGCAGTAGATGCTAAATCACTTTATTATTAAGTCACTTAAGTGGGTTTTGACTTTCGAGACCAAAAAAAAAAAGAGGTTAAGTGGGCCGGGCTTGGGCTGTGCTTGAAGCGGGCTTTGGCAAGCCCGTCTCATGTGGGGCCATGGGCCTGCTCGGTCCATTGGACTGTTAGAAATATGTCCTTAAAACCAACTCATGTTGTAATAATTAGAGTTAATGACATCTTTGATAAAAGACATATTATGGTATCATGGGCAAGAAAGGTTGTTTTATACATTAAATCATCCTATATTCATCATTCAATATGTAGGGAATGGCAAGGTCTCAAGTCATTACTTTGGTTAATGAGTGATCATATTTGTATCTCATCTTCCATAAACCAAAAATTGGTCCAATCAAGAAGTAGACTAGCATTCATATTTCTTGATTGCCTTCTTTTCATCTCTAGGAACATTTGGTGTGGTGAGGTAGATGACTCCAATCTTGGAGACGTAAGCTGAATGAGTCAAAATGAAGGGAAACAAAAGGCATTTCCAACAAAGGTGTTCATTCTTGAGAAATCAAGAAAAGGTCATCAAAGGTAAAGATATATTCCCTTTTCCCCTTTTCTATTTATGTTCAAAGAGATTAGGCTAAGATACTTGGTTTAAAATGAAAAAGATTTAGCTCAACTAGTATAAACAAAATGAATCCGTCATTTAGAATGTTTTTGTTGTATAGCTTGTGGCTAAAGTTCATTTCCTAAGCATTAGATTCATGTTTCCTTCATGGACCTCATTTTTTTATCTGGACCCAGCCCAAGCTTTCGTGCCATACCGAGCATGGCCTACTAATATTCATGCTCGTGCCGTGTGTTAATGTATGCATTTTGAGTTTTTCTTTTGGCTTCCCTTGACAATTTTGTAATAACACAATCATTGTAAGTTTAGATTAAGAATTACTTCTCTAGGTGTTCTTATCTAGCTACATTATGATGGACAACATTGTATTTGACAAAGGTAAGTTTTGCATTGCATTACATTGCATTAACCTATTCCTGAAGATTATGACTAGTCATCTTTTCTCCGAATGACTAGTCATCCTTCCTCCATATGACTAGTGAACCTTTGCGTTAGTAAGGTTTTCCAGGTCATTGTTTCCAGCTGGATCCTACCCACTTTTTTGTCCTATTTTACAAAATCCTTTGCTGCCTTGTACGATTCTAACCTAGGAATTTTTGTGTAAAAATGCATGCATTCCTCATTTGGTAGCCGTCACTTTTGTAGGCAAGTTTTGGAAACTTTCTCTGTAAACTTTCTGTTCTTCCTCAAGTGTAACCTTCATATTTTTCATCTTTGAGTTTTCCAAAATGTTTCTTTTTGAAAACTGCATTTGAAATATGAAAACCTCATCTTGCTAGATCAAACACTATCTCATATATATCTAGGTCAGATTCAAGATTGATTTCTTCAAGAGTATGGTTTCTTGACGAAATTGGTCATTCTCCTTTGAATCCAAATTTTGGTTTCTGTCTGAGTTAGAGCTTGCAAGCTGGTGCCATGGGATGAATGAGCTGGAGAATGAGCTACCATTGCCATGAAGAACTGAGCTTCAAGCTTTGCTAAGTTGAAGAAGAAGATTGCACAAAGGAGGTATAGCTCATCTTTCTAAATAGATCTAGGTTTTTCTTGAGCTTGCTTGTGTTCATTTGTAAGAATCTTTTTCTACTTAGTGGACTGCCTGGTCAGTTGATGACCCCCAGTTTTTCCCAATGGTGGGTTTCTGGGTGAACAATTTCTGATTGCATCTCTGTAATTTTTCTGGCTTTGTGTTCTTGGTGGTTGACTAGTCATTGTATGAATTCTGGGTTTGTGTCCTTGTAGTTGACTAGTCATTATTATCTGTTATTTGGTGCTTACTTGATTATGATGATTTCATACTTTCAGTGTAGTTGTTGCTAGCACAGGAGATGCCTAGATTGACGGGTTCTTCTGAGTGTCCAGGTTGTCACTAGTAATTCTCTAAGCTTGCAAATACATATTGGTATGCTCTATGTATGTTATTGTTTGATATAATTCATATCTGACAGTTGACTAGTCATAAGAGTATTTGGTCAAGGTCTAGAGTGTGTGAAGTTTGTTGTGTTTTGTTTAAGTGTCGTTAAATTTACCCCTCGTCACCTAAGTACCAATTTCACCTTGCCGTGCCTCATTTAAACGGGCTATACTCGTGCCGTGATGGGCCAGCCCGTCCCATTTGACACCTCTAGTCGTTACTACTTCATTTTCACGTTGTTACATGCCATGAGTGTCGTGGATGATGGATTGACGACGTTGGTTTATTTTAACTAATTGTCGTGACAGAGTTTCTGTACGACGATAAGTTAATATAGTATGTCATTGTTGGTCTATGTTACGACGCTTCATGGGTAAATTGTGTCATGTTATCTCCATAAGACGATGAGAAGCTTAGAAAAGCGTCGTCTAAGCTTATTGAAGTTAGTCTTTTGGTTGTATTTTTATTAATTAGATGTCGACTTTTAGTTGGAGATGATATAGTATGTGGTAACAACGTCAGTAATTTATCGTCATAGTTTTATCCATCAAAAGATGGCGGTCAATTTCACGGCGGTTTAAAATCCCGTTGTTTATTTCGTTTTTTTGTAATAGTGCCATCTTGCATTTTTGTTACAACAAGTAAGAAGTAATCTTAGCCTCTCACATTCTTTCATAGTGAGTAAATACGGAACGGGAAAAATACGAATAGATACATATGTGCTTTATTTGGCAAATTACAACTGAAAATTCTGGCTTAGAGCATCTCCAACCGATGTGTCAAAAGTGCCACATAGACATTTAACGGCTAGAAATAACATCTCACATTACTCCAACCGATATGTCAAAGCTGATGTGGAATGAAGGCTGGAGGTTGAGATGTTATTTTTGACATCCCAAAAGCAAGATGTCAAATGAATATTTTATTATTTTTAAAGATAGTTGATTGTTACTTTCATTTATTATTTTCTTTTTTATATTTTTTTCTTCTGTATCTTAAATGATTTGACTGTTACAATAATTATTTATTTGACGTATCGGGTGGAGTGTAAAACTGTGTAAATGTCAAATTGCCACATCAGCCATCAAATTTAAATTTGATGTTTGGTATTTGACATCTCCCTTGGAGATGCTCTTAACATGATTGTTTATTAAGATGAAAATTACTCGGGGCTTGTCTGTCATTACGGTGCAGGGCGATATGGTGGTGGGTAATGCCTTCGTCTTCTTGCGCTCATTCTAGTAATTGCTTTTCGTCTTCTTGCGCTCATTCTAGTAACTGCTTTGTTTGACTATTTATGCGGAAGCTACTATGGATAATAAACAGATATTGAGACATTTACGAACATATATATACTGCCTAATAAAGCAGCGCAATATTGCCAACATGTCACACAGGGTTGGAGGGTCTTCAATGGCAAATGGTTTTTTATTTAGGCAAAGATCTACTAATTAAAATGATAAACAAAAGTAAACATAAAAAGGAAAAAAACAAACCCTTATAAGCTACTAAGGGTTTTGTTTAAAGTAGCATGCCACACAGTACATTTCAGCTCACCAAAATCTATAGTTTCTCCAAATGTGTGTACAAAAGCTCCAAAAACCCAGGAAACAGCCTCTGAACACCAGAGTCGACATCTACGATATTAACCGTCAAAGCCTTTGATTGATAATAATGATTATACAAATTCCTCAAGTACCTAAGAAGCTCCGTCACTTCCCCAGAGTAGTTGCCAGAACTATGGTAATAAACTCCTTTCATAAATTTATTCATGTTACTAAGGACTGGAGTACGGTTCCAAGATTTGAAATGATCAAAATCGGATGATCGCAAAGCTTTTTCCACAGCTTTTTGTTTACCAACAATGTCCAACTTACGATGATAACGAGCAAACATACCCATCCTTTCTTCAGAGCTTAACAAGAACGGATGAGATATCAATTTCTCTACAAACTCAGGATAGCTGAAAAGACCAAAAAACATCCTATAAGAAATGAAGTAGGAAGAAGAAAGAAAAATGTTAAAAGTAGTAGAGAACTCACTCCAAACACTCAGCATTGTCGAAGAACTTCAAGAAGCTACTACATTCCTTCCATGAATATTTAGACCCCAAAATTTTCTTGAACACGACATCTAACATCATCCTAAGTTGCATTAAATCTTTTTTCTTTTTTTCGTCTTGTTCACTGAGACTCAAGTCAGCCAAAGATCCCTCAACGTTTATTACTTTCAGCTTGTCATGAAAAAACACAAAACTAGACTGCTTATGCAAACCACCATGGAATAAGCCCTTAGCATGAATGCTACGCACACCACGAATCAGATCCCTACATAAATACAAAATAATTATGCCAAAAATAATTAAAACGAAAAAATAAACAGTAACCTTATAGAGTTTATTTATTTACTAAAGTAACCTTATAGAATTAAAACTAACAAATTACCCAATGGATGTACGCCAAAAGTCTTGAAGACGGTCATCAGGAGTGCGGAGAGGTAATTTAAGCTGATCATCATAAGGAACAATTTCTTTCGACTGAACCTCGTCGGCCCAATCTTTGAGAGGTTCAAAACGATCATAACAAACACACGATACACCCTTCCTTATCTCTATGTGATCAGGCAGTTTGGGAAAATACTTCTGCTTGATGAACAAATCCTTATGAGGCCGTAAAACCACATCAGCACCAACTTCACAAGTCCTATGAAAAATTAATTCTGCCCTACTAGCAGCATCTATCCCATCAACTCCGTCAACTTTTACAAATGTCACGGGTATCGGTTTCCCATCACGTTTGAAAGATAAAGATCCCTTATACCATTCTTCTGATTTATTATAATCAAATGACAAACTGTAAGAACAAACCCTCGGTCCAATAACCTTGTGATGTGAATCATTCCTATCATACTCATCTTTTGCAAAATTAAAGAACTCTGTCTGGTCCTCCATTTCGAAAAATTAACAATAAAAGGAATCTGCAAGAAAACCAGTATGGTAATTACAATATAGCTAGCAGCCAAACAATTCCGCTAACAAGATGAGAGGGAAGAAGATGTTTTCTTAAACGAAAACTGGAACTTTAATTTTGCAGAGTTCAAATCACAATTGGGAAAAAGACCTTTCTTCGGCAACCAAATTTGTAAATATATATGCAGAAAATCCAACACTACTTTGGCAGAATATTTAACAACATACCTGAATTTGGCAGACGCTCCAATTCAAGGAAATCTAAAATAAAAAATAATTCACAAAAATTCTCATAGGTTAGATTGGAAACCAAGGAAGAAGAGACAACAGAAAAGAGGGAAACAGTATACCACAGCAACAATAAAAACTGAGAAAGCAACAGAAAACAGTCAATCTGGACAAGCCAACAAAGAGCCCCACTACAGCTTACTGTACCAGGCACAAAACAGAGAAAACACTCGGCATGACGCAATTTGTATTTTTTGTCTAACAGTTATTCCCGTAATTAAATCTTTGTGCCTCATGAATCAACCAAAGAATCTACGGTTTCAAATTTTCATGTCGTGGTAAGGATTATGAAGGCTTCCATCAATCACAAAGGTGTGCCATGAATCTCTTGAGTGGCTTGCGATATTTATGAAAGACTGGTGGGATTGTGAGCAACAGAGGCACTCGTTCATCATGAGGCAGTGCGAGGCAACCAAGTGGTGAGGTAGGCGGTGCGTCGATGAGCAGAAAGTTGGATGGTGGAGGAATATGGTGGTCATGCAGACACAACTAATCGTTGGGGTTTAGGATTACACTCATTATTCTTGTTTTAATATTTTATTAAAAAAATTAAATAGTTTAAATTTAATGACTTGACTTGAGGCAAGTTATTCAAGACAAATTTAGTGTTCGTAGCATTATTGGTTTGATAAAGATGTATTGTTGGTCGATCAATGTTCAAAAGACAAACACTACTCATAGTTCAAAAGAAAACAGGTAAAGATGTATTGTTGGTCAATTCAAAAGACCAAAAACGACTCAGTTAAAAACAAAAACAAAAACTACTCAATGTTCAGAAGAAAATATAACAAAAGGTAGATCATGAATGAGAAAACATAAGGTAACCTCACCTTTGATTATCTAGACAATGAAGTAAAAACGATATGGATTCAAAGACAGATCCAACGATACCTTTGATTAAGAAGTGCGAAGCAAAAAAGATATTGAATCAAAGAGAGATCGAAGAGGAAGAGCCGCATGTAAATTATATAGGGTTTGAACTAAATCACTTACTAAACTGGCCCTAAAACACCAATCTCAAAAACAAGTAACAAACTCAATGATTATAAAACGGGTAACAAAAAACATTGCATGATAAAACAAGTAACACTGACAAATTCTGATACTAAAGCTGTAGAAAATTTTAAAAAGGGAAACTAAAAAGAATAAAGAAATCAATACTTAGCCAAAATATTTTGCACATACAATTAAAAACCGAAATACTATCTTCAGAAAAAAAGGGCAACCAACTTTTATTAGGCCTTGAAATGGGAAGTCAATTCTCTGGTCCTCATGTGCAAGATAAAACGGGTAACAAATTTTTATGTCGATTCATATTATATATATATATATATATATATATTTTAAAGAAAAAAGAATAGCAGCCTCAAGAATTTTACACGAGTTAAGAAACTTTCCTGATATCCCCAAGCAACCATAATAAAACTCCCCTCTGCAGCGGCATCCCCAAACCCTAAATTCCCTTGTGCCTCAATTTAGCATTTCAATAGCGAACGCCTTATCATCTGTTATCATGGGGTATCGGAAAATATCTCACCTTTGCGCCGCCGCCGCTGACCTCACCTCGGGTCAAGACCATGCCTTGACGATGGCTTCACACGAAGATGAGCTCCTGGGCAAGATATCAGAAATCGAGAAATCCCTAGCTGCGCTTTCCAACCAGCAAATCCAACTGGTCGATTTGAAGAAATCAATATCGGATGAGCTTGACCTACTACGCGCCAGTAGGGCCCACAGTTACAAACATGGGGCTGTTCATCCTTACCCAAGGTCAGTGCATGGCTTTCATCTTAACTTCTTAATTTCTGTTTCTTTGTAAAATTGTTGTTTTTCTTGATTTTCCTTTATGTTATTTTGTTATGAACTTTTTCGACTTGTTTTAAAAATTCACTTGGCTTGTTCTATATATCTATTCTCTGTCCAGATTGCCCATGGAGGGGGAGGCATCAATGACGGTAAATCAGGGGGAACACAGATCTGTGTTTTTAATGATAACTTTCAGTAAGGGAAACATAGGTGCCCTATATGAAGTTAAATTCAAATACGGGGGAGACGTTGATGATATGGACGGAAGAGCCGCACTTGAACCTGTAGTCAAGTTCCCTTGTATTAACGAGTGTGCAAGGATTTTCAAACGCTCCCAACTATACGTATTTACGGAGGATGGTTGCATTAGGTCATTCGATACGAAAACTAGGGAATTAGATCCCTCCCTACCTCCTACCTTAGAGTTGAAGCCGAGTGGTACAGTCGTGTCTGCATATGACAGACTCTATTTTCTTGAAGAAGCATCGCCCTTCGTAGCAGATCCACTTCCATCTTTTGCAAAATACAATCCTGATGAGAACGACTGGGAGCGAATGCCTGAGTTTCCAATTCGTTATCCTTATCCTATGCGGGTAACTGGTTATGCTGTTTGTTATGAACTTATTTTGTATACACTAATTGACGGACATGATAACTCTGATGTCGTTGCTTTTCACGTGGGTGGAATGAATTGGATTCAAGTGGAAGTTGACACTTGTGATTATACTCCTTTCCGAGGGAGGGCCGTGGTTGTAGGCGAGACTATATATGCCTTGGATCTATTTCAAGTGGATGAGATTATAGCATTCTCCTTGAAGAAGAACAAACGCGATAATGATAGTATTGCATACACACTAATCAAGCTGTGTAAATTGGACGGCCTGAAGATTGTGTCTCCACCATGTCCATTTGATGGGCTTGAGAGTGACTATTTTGTTCATTTGGGGAACCAAGACTTTTTTCATGTTAAGACTGGCACTAATTATGAATTTTACAAGGTTCAACATATTTGTATCACCACTTTTCAAATATTTGTTCGAGAAGACGGAATACATATGATCAAGACCTTACATTCATTTGTTCTTCCTATGGATATCGAGGCTTGTGGCCGGTTCATGCTCACGTTCGGCTTCACTATGTAAGTTCTCTTCACATTTATTGTGTTGTCATCAATGACATTAATTTGTACATTGGATTCTATTATAGTTTGTATGTATCAAAACCCTTATAAATGTAGTTTTTGGTGATTATGACTCTCAGAGAGTGCGAGGATTATGAACCCATAGAAGGGCAAAGTGCAGCTAGCATGAAGTAGCCCAAACAAGAAGATGAAACCATATCAAAGATAATTATTTGATGTGTGGGAGGTGAAAGAAATGTGTTTACATGAAATCTTTTTATTTATTTAATGACTGTGATTGAAAGAAACGATGTTATTGATTGTCATATTTAGCTGATTGAAAGAAATGGGTTTTGCAGATAGAAGCCAAGGAGGAAATAGGCCCTGGGCAGCATGAGGAAAGCCAAACCAGAAAAAAAAAAAAAAAAAAAAAAAAAAAAAAAAAGAAAGAAGAAGCGGATGGAAGGAGGGGACTTAGTAGAAATAACATGTAATGTAAGTACTTGAGGAGCAGGGAATCCGTCTTGGATTAGATATTATTGAGGCGTTTGACTGCCATCTAGGCCCTTGGTGTTATAGGGTAAAAACGATGTTATTTATTGTTATATTTAGGTGATAGTTCACATGATACATTTGATTTGATCTCTCCAATTCTTTTTTCTTTTAAAACTAAGCATTCACAAAGTGAGTGCAAAATAAGACATGGTATGTGATGCGTAAGAATTCGTTATGTGTGTGTGTGTGTGTTGACTGTTGCGTTGCATAGAAGAATGTAGGTGTACGCACAGGTTTCAACTTTGCTGCTCAAGAAATGACATTATGAAAATTTCACATTATGATACCGTCGTACGCATGCCTCCTTGTGGAGGCCACAAGTCCTCCCAGCCAATAAGTCTCTTTGTTGTAAAAGGACCTGTTTATATTTTCAAATGGGAAAACAAGACGTCATGTTGCCCAGATGCTAAACCCAACCATTTCTAATGTACAAATAATAACCATTATTTGACCAAAAGACGGAAAAAAGAAGAAGATTCATATTAGTCAAAAACAAGGAAAGTCACGTTGCGAGTCACGTGTCTAGTTTCAAAGGCAAGCGCACTCACCACACGGCCTCCTCTGCCTCGTCTTCTCCCGCCACACACTCTGTCTTCCTTCCCTCCTAAATGCCAATCGTTCAGTTACCTTACCTCTTTAGTCAATTTATAATGAAACTTGATGTAATAGCCCGAAAATGACAACGGCAAGAATCGGAAATTGGATCGGGTATTGAATTGCAGTGATTTTGATCGCTTTGTGAGTCGTCTGTAAACTGTTTGTTAAAATGCTTGCAGTGTTATTGAAAACTAGCGTTTGGTAGTGTTGTAAAATGACAAAAACTTTGATTGATAGGTGTTTGAGCGTTTCTTATGTGTTCTAAAAGGACGAACGCCGCGGCATTGCTTTGTCTTCATTATTATCCACCTGCAGACATTGCGAGGCCTTTATGTTCTGTTCTGTTATGTTTAGTTTATCTTGTTTTAAAGTTTTTGTTTTGGTTTTTTTACAGCATGTTTAGTCTGTCCTTTTTTATGGTTTGAAAATATGATCCTAATGTAAATTGCTTGGCGTGAGAGCAAATGGAAAAATATTTTTTGTTTATTTTATTTCTCTTTGGTGCATAATCAATTGACATCTAAGTTGGTTAAAATTTATAGGATTTTGTCTTCGAGAGAGATGTATGTGTTGTTACTCTAATTTCACAGAAATTGGAGATTGTGCTTGAATTACTTAAATTGAAAATCATAAGGCAAAATTGATGTACAAATTATATATATACTAAAAACTGAATCCAGGAATTCACTGTTCCTAGACTGTAGCTTAGCAATAGTGAAGTGACGTTTGTGTCCCTCTCTTTTTACTGTTTGCACACTCATTTTTCTCATCAGAACAGTGAAATCACGGTTTTGTCCTTAATTAATTAGTTTCGTCTCTTTCCCGTTTTGCCCCCCGTCTCCTTCGATGCCTACATCTGGAATGTTCGACGTTTTTGCAGAACCATCTGCCCAAGCCTTCAGTTTTCGTTTCCATCGTTCGCCCCCTTCGTTGCCTTCTTCTTTCCATCCGGTTCCATTGTTCACCTGTTTCCTTGCCTTCTTCTCTTTTGATTTGAAAATCAATCTCTATCTAAAAGCTGTGCGCACGGGTAACGCCGCCGTCGGCGTACGTGGCACCGACACCATCGTTCTCGGCGTCAAAAAGAAGTCCACAGCAAGCTCGGTCCATCTCTCTCTCTCAAACAATGTTTTTCTGTGCTTTGTTGAAAATTTAGGGTTAGGGTGCAAGAAAAAACAGAGTAATTAATTTTTCATATATTTTATATTTTGATTTGTATTTGTGACTATTTGATTACGCAGGCATACTTACTAACCATTTGTTTGTTTGTCCTTGAATTGCGAATCCTCAAGTGATTTACAGGGCCTGTTTGGAATTCAAAGGAAAATTGAGCAAATTGAGTCATTATTATGCTTGGATTCAACAGGTGTTTTCTTTTGATATTTTGCAGGAGTTCTTTTGTTGCTTTGGATAGAGCAGTTTGATTGGTGTTTTCAGTTCTGTTAAGTAAGAGGTGAGTTTCTAGGCTGAAAATGCAATTAATTGTTTTAAGTCATCAATTTACAATTGGTTGGTGTTAATTTGTTGTTGTAGTGATAGATTTAGATGTTTACAATATCTGAGCATGTTGGTGAACCTTTGAGTGTTTTGACAATTGGGCTTTCTTTTTTTGTTTTTTGATTTTCACATTGTTTTAGTTTATAGAGTTTTTGTACAAGTAAAGAAAGCCTCTGGATTACAAGGTTGTAATTTGATATGTACGCTTTTGCTGTTGTTTTTACTCTGAATTTTATCTTTAGTTTTGTTTTCAATTGAGGATCCATATACATTAGCTATTGTTTTGTTTACAAAGGTTAGAACTAAAGAATCACTTTATAATATTTCAATTGATCTGCTACTGTTATTGGATTCCTGGATATTGTTTTCCTTCTTATTTGACTTCCATATCATATTAGTACATCCACCCATATAGACACATCTTTCATGCTCTATTTTTTGTTCGTCTTGCTTTAAAAAGTTTATTATTAAATTTTCTTGAGCATGGTTTTCTTTTGTTTATTGTAAAAAAAAAAAAGAAGAAAAAAAAGGAGAAACTTTGGTAGATTGAATGATAGAGTAGAGAGTCAACACACAAACGGACATTTGATGGTGGAAAAGGGAAATTCCAAATGCAATACCTGTGAATCTTGGGACTTTTGTTTGTCTTCTTAACACACTCTTCGTCTTGACATTCAATCTTTTTCCTATGTTTTCTTTAATTTTCTTATTTTGAATCACTAGCAGAGCAATGGGATTCCCAACTTTTTTCAAAACTGAAAATGGTTAATATACGAAATGGAATTAAAGGTGGAACTGTTTTTCCCCCTTTTTCTTTTCTTTTCTATTTCTGTGTTTAAGGAAAAGAAATTATTAACGTGTTGGATTTGGTGAGATTTTCTCTATAGCTCTTGGACATTTTAATTTTTATCTTAATTTTGATTCGTTGAGTCATAGTGTTTATTGGTGCCACGTATTTTACGGTTCTTTTGTGATTGAATGTGTGTGAAATTTTTTGTGTATTTGGCTTCTGTTTTCTTTTATATCTAATTTTTTGATGGCATTTCATAGCCATTGTTTAGTTGTAGTCTATGATAAATGATAGTAATGGATACCAAATAATCTTCCTGTGCTTTGTGGGAAAACAGATGAAAAGGAACAAAAGTAAAAAGGGAATCTAAGATTCAAAAACTTTTATGTTTTTATTCTCTGTTTTAGAAACACTTGCTTTTATCCCCCAACAAAAACAATCAATTCATCAGCTGTGTTGATGGATTACTCTAAATTGTGTTTGTATAAAGGCATTTTCCATTGAAATTATGATTTAGATAAGTGGTATGATTGATTTTTCATTGAATTGATGAATTGAGTATATGTTATATTAAACATTTGACTATGGTTATGAACCGGACATGTTCAAGGTTTAGTATTTTTAAATAAATCAAATTAAATAAACTATCTCATTCCTTTTTTTTTTTTTTTTTTTTTTTTTTTTTTGTGTTTTAAAATAAATAAATTGTAATGTGCATTGGCGGATGACACTAATACTTAACAAGATAAGTGAGATTATGAATGAGGATTCTGTAATGAGTTTTTGAAATTCTCTGTTTTTCACTTTACAGGAAAAATTGGAAAATTGTTGTTGATTCTATTAGTATAATTTTTTTAGGCACCGTGTTTCTGGGATTTTGTTGCTTGCTGAGTTTATTCTCTATGTTTTTCATTTTGAATCATTACAACTGAGGTATTCTAGCTATCTCAGCCTTTGATTGTTGCTTTTGATTGAATTGGTTGATAAACAAGAAGATAATTTCTTAGAATCTCTGTTGATAAATGAGTAATTGTTGATAACCTTTTTTTTTCCTTTTTCTTTCCTTTGTTGCATCAATTATTATAAAACTTCGATCCAATTTAAGAAAATGCACAATTGGTTAATTAGATTCCATGAATTATATGTGAATAATATGCAAATTCATAAAAACAATCATATTAATTCAATTATAATAAATGAATATGTCAATAAAAAAAAAAAAAAAAAAAAAAAAAAAAAAAAAAGAATAATTAGTTTTTGACCAAAGGTTGGTATATTAAAGCTAATGAACTAATGAACCAAAAGTTGATGCATAAAAGCATGACCAATGTTGCTTTTCATATTTGATTTTCAAGTCTATTGATGTGCAAAATAGTTAGGTTTAATGTATGCTAGGAATGTATCATTGATGGTGTGTCAAAATAGTTAGGTTTAATGTATGCTAGGAATATCTCATTGGTTAAGTGTCAATAAAATCTTTGTTTTTGTTCTCAATTACTGTTTATGCCATGCTTGAACCCGAAGTATAAGATGTGATGATAATTGAAATCCCTAGAGACCAATCTTGCTTCTGATATTTTATTTTCAACTAATTTGCTTAGAAAAAAAAAGGCATAATTTCATTGCTCACTATTGATTAAAGGTATCTACTTTTCTTTTGGCTGAGTGATACCTCTCTTAAAGATTTTATGAAATTGCTCATTCTTACTAATCAAGAAATCTATAATCTAACAAACTAAATCACCAACTTTATCACTAACTTTTTAGAGTTAATAGGATACTCAAATATAACAGATCAGTTATATAATTAAGGATACACCATGTGTCAATATCTTTGCCTACGATTTTTTGACCTTGGTTGTAATTGACAGATACAATTTTTGTTGCTGATCTTGGCGAGAACCTTGGCTTTTACATGGTAATTTCTCTCTCTCTCTCCTCTCTCTCTCTCTCTCTCTCTCTATACTATATATATATATATGAAAGTTTGAAATTTTCAAAAGTAATTAGCTTAGAAGTTGCTGCTTTTAATGTGTTGTTACTTCGGTTTTTCTTATATTTTATTTAGAGCATGTATGTGTGTATATATATATATATATATTAATCAGAATGTATATATAAGTCATGTGCTTTCAAACCACAATCACAAACAGAATCTGTATGTTTTTTATTTTTTGCTCTTTTGATTATTCCTTGATTTCATTTTTTCGGTTGTGTTTGTTATAGGTGTTGTCTTAACTGCGTTTTCGACTGTTTGATAGCTCTCCCTTGTTGTTAGGCAACAGGTCAGTTTTCTATTCGTCTTCTGAAGAAGTCATGCATATCAACTGTAGAAAATTGGTTTTTTTTTTTTTTGAAAGATTTTTTTTTTTCTCCCTTTTCACATTATTCATGGTGGATGTTGGTCCTCATCTACGTTTCTGTTAGGGTTTAAATATTATGTTTCTGAATTCACTTTTGATTTAATTCTCATCGCTACCCTTGGATTTACCCATCGTTTCGTTGCGGGAGATAAAGGGAAGTCCGTACGTGCGGAGTGGGGGGAGGGGGTTGGAGGGGGTTTGGGGGGCGTAACTTTAGTTGTCCATGATTAAAATGGTGCGTGGTGTCAGGACCAACCCACCGAGGGGGTGGTAAGTGGTTCCTGGTCAACGTAGACTTAATGTTGTACTGAATAGGGGGGGGGGTGTCAATAATGCCTTTTTTTCTCTTTAGTGAAATAAATCCTGGGAATTCAACATTGAGATTTTTTCTTTGCCTCCTATATCCACCACAACAAATTGGTCCTTGCATACATCGTAAGTCATCGCCCAGGTCCACTCTTGACCTCGATTCTTCCTATCACTTTTTTTCTGGGTGCTTTTTCTTTCCACATTAATCTTTTTGTGGTGGTCGAAGCTGTTTTAAACTTCTCTTTTTTTTATAATTTTCTTCTTATAATTCTGTTCGTGTTTCTTCCCACACCCGATTTTTTTCTTTCTTAATTGGCCTAATCCCCCTTACTTTCGTTTCTTTTTTTTTTGGGATTCCGCCTTCTCTTATTCCTCTCTGCTGCTTGTTTTTGGTTTTGTTTGTTCTTGTTTTTTTCCTTATCATTTCTTTGGGTTCGTTTTTTTTTTGTTTTTCTCTGATTTTATAACTTTTCGTTATTGTCGTTCAGGCATATTGAGTGTGTCCTTTTTCCTCGGTTACTTAATTAGTTTCTCAACACAAAGGTTATTTCGTTTTCATTAGTTTATCCCTGACCAATTGGTTCCTGTGTTTATTATCTCTAGGCTATTTGTTCTCTTTTATTCAATACTATTGTTCTTTTTCCTTTTACACATCAGTTTTGCGACACATTTTAGTCATTCCAGTATGCTGGCTCCTTGTAGTTTCCATTCTTTTTGTCCTCAGTTCCGTTATCGTCATGGAGCTTGCTCATCGGCCCAGCCCGGTCGGCAGCGCGCTCGTGCCGTCGGCTGGTCCAGATCGGGAGCGGGTCCCGCTTGGCCGGGCGCGGAGGCGACAAGCGTCGGCAGCCGTGGGCGGACCGCGGGTCGCGGTGGAGCGTGGCAAGGGGGTACCCGGCTCGGGTAGCGGGGCTCAGGGACGGGGAGGCCCGATTGGAGGGGGCTCCGCAAAGGGGTTGTTGAGGCTCTATACCTAGATAGCCCGGTATTTTTATTTTGATGTCTATGAACGGTGACTATCCACACGATAAGTAAGCTTGACCGTCCGGCATCCGTCGCTCAGTCCAGCCTTCCATCCTCGCCTCCCATGCGCCCATTCTCCTATCAGCGCCGCCTGGGTTCCTTTTTACTACTCAATTCGTCACAGCTTGCATTCCACCTCTCTCCAGCCATCTGCCTCCTGCTCGTTGCGATGGTTCCACACCGGTCTCTGGGTGGGGATCCTATCTCTTCTGCCTGTCCTTCTATCTTTGATCCTCCGTTGTCATCCCCAACTCACCAAGCTGATTCCTGCAATAACCCCTCCTGCAACCACCACCCTCTTTCTACCTATGAGTGACAACGCCTCACAGCACTGTATGTGCACTCCAAAATTCCGCCGACAGATGGCACTGTCTAATATCCCATTGCTCGGTGCTCTCCTCCTCATCTGTCTATTGAACTGCTTAGTCCTCATCATGCTACACTCAAGCACTCAAATCTCGAATGGCTGTGAATCATTCTGGGTGATGAAATTCACTGGCTGTGGTGCTGTAAGGAAACTGGCACGTTGGACATTGGTTTTCCCTCCTCCTCTCATCTCAAAATCGTCGTTGGTCGCAAATTGGGTTTTTCGGTAAAGCACAATATTTCAGATTGGCCTATTTCAACGGCATCAAAGTCGGCGACTTGTGGCTAAATGGTTTTCATCAATCAACCAGGTATATGATCTATATCCGTACCTTTAGCCCTGTGATTATATCGCTTTGCAACTATTCGTGTTTGTGCTGTCCTCTCCTTGCTGTATCTCCTCGAGGTTGGTCACTTTTTTTCCGTAGATTGGGACGGCAAAAAACGCATTTCTCCTCACATTGCTTTCCTTAAAGAATCATGTGTATATACGCAACCACTCGTTGATTCATTGACCCGTCAACGGCCAGCGTTAGTTTTGTTGTTTTGCAACTCATACAAGGGCCCTCTACGCCTCAAGCAAGCTCCTTCTGCTGGTTTCACCGTATGACAGCTTCGTACCTATTCATTGGCTTTTGGTTGGCAGTTAGTTGTGGGCTTGATTCATCTTTGTTCGTTTCACGCAATTCGGTTGTGTCACTACATTTTATTTCTTCCCTTATGGTTGATATATGTAATTCATGGTTATGTTTGAGAGAATTTTACACAGTTTTATTGATGCCTTTTTAGGCTCGGGCTTTGTTTTGACAGCTAATAGTATCTTGTAAATCTACACTACTTTCTTGGTTTAACAGGTTACACTTTCAAAATCAAGGGGTGTTATATTTTAGTCACCACTGTATGGGCTTGGATGATCTCCTTCAGAAGCATGATAGTGCTGGGGCTTTAGGTTTGGCACCAGGTGTGCGGTCCTGGCAAGCAATGTGGTCGTGGCAGAAGGACCTATGGTCTCGCGTTGCGTAGTGAGTGGGTGACCGGGGGGCTGCCGTGTGCCGAGATCGGCCTGCGGCCGGTGGGGGGGGGGGGGGGGGGGGGGGGGTGGGTGGGGGGGGGGGGGGGTTGGGTCGATAAATGTGTTGGGCTTCCGGGTGTGGGCGTATGGTGGACGGAGGTGGGCGAGGGGGGGTGCTGTCCTGTTACATGTTGCGTTCGCGGTGGGTGGTAAGGTGGTGCTAGTCGGTGCTCAGGGTGTCGTCGGAAGTCGGGGGGCCGTGCGACGACGCGTGCTGTTGTGGTCGGTTGTGCTGGGGGCCGGTACAGCGCATCGCTAGGAGCTCTACAGGGGACGGGTGTCAGAAGGGCGTCACGTGAGCCATGCGGTTGGGTTCTTCGGGGTCGCTCAACACAGGTCTACTGTCGTCTTGGCTGCCGCGTATGGTGCTGAGGGGGTGTCGTGATTGGTGGTGGGGCTGGCTGTCCAGACTCCCTCGTCGTTCACACGTCAGGTTTAGTCATTGTTTTTCTTGTCACCTTAACCTGGTTCCTCTTGTGCTTTAAAAAGCAACCTAACCATGTGTTCGTTCCGAGGTGCGGAATCTAGTATTCGTTTTCCCCTTGCCCTGCTAGTTGCTAGTCTACTTGGGTGGGTAGCGTATTTTGCTTTATTGGAAGCGGGTGCGGAGCATTCTTTCCCATTCTTCCTGCATATTTGACACCTTCATGCTACCTACATGGCGTTCTAATCCTGGTGTTTCCATGCTCCGCACTAAACATATTGAACGTTATTTATCATTTGTTCGTTGGATACAAGTTCGCATCTTGTGGAGCCGACCGTGTTTGCTTTAATCCCTTCCATAGATCATGCCCTGCCGATCTTCTTTGCACCAAGGCCTCTTCCAAGCATCGTCATGGTGTGGCTTGGCTGTGGGGCGTGCTGCGTATAAGCGGTTGTTCGGTTGGTGGTGGGGTGGCAGGCGGCCTGGCGGGGCCACGTGATGTGAGGGGTTGGTGGTGTGGTTAGTAGGTGAGAGTGGGTTGGTCCGTGGGATCGTGGAAGGTGCAAATCTGAGTTGGAGGTGTCGAAGGGCAGTGCTAGATCCAGGGTTCATTTGAAATGATTTGAGATATTTCATACAGGCTTTAGTTTAGATTTTGGCTATCGTGCGGAAATCTGGTTATTGTCGCTGGTGAGGTTGAGTTCTCCATGAGATGGTATCATGGTATGTTTGCTAGTGTTGGTGAGGGTGCTAAAGAGGGGTGGGTCGGGTGTACTGTTGTCGAAAAACACAAAAATCGCGTATTCTGCGGGTTGTTACACATGCGGGATGGGATCATGCTAACATTCGGTTGTTCAGGATCCGCCATGGTTTTCGTGTGTCTGGGTACGATACTCAAGTGCGAAGTCAGAGATAGTAGCCGAGATGAAGCGGGTAAGTTTAGCAAAAGGTAGGTGAGAAACGATCAAGCGAAGTGATGTTAGTAGTTCCTGTATGTGGGTCAGGGAAGATGCCGGGTAGTGACTGCTCCATGAGAAGCACGACGCGCTATCTCGCTGCATCGGGTTGTGGGTGAGAGGTAGCGCAAGGCAGGGAAGGGGCGAAGGGGTTGTGGTGGAGTAAGGGGGACTCGTATGATGCCAGGTCGGGAAGAGGGTCCAGCTACAAATTCCAAGGATGTGAACTGAGTAGTTTGTTGACCTGGCAGATCAACCCATGGAGAACGAGGAAGCTCCCGCGTATAATTTTGGGGGCTGGTGCACGGAGAAGCTCGGTGGACGATGGAGGCTAGTGTATGTGAGAGTGGCACATCGATGGAACGTGGGCACTGTGGGCAAAAAGTGTGGTTGTTTGGCGAACGTAGAGCAGATACATCTACAAGACGTCTCCGGACCCTCGCGCCAACGCGACCAAAAAAATTGTTTGGCAGAAGTCAAACGTTGAGTATAGAAAAGCCGTAAGATTGTTTGCATATGAGATAGAAGGAGCATTAGGGCAGTCACATGGTGTCTGCGCACATATCACGCCACACAACGTCAACAACCAGAGAACAGATTGCTTGGACCTCTCCAATGTGAGTTCTGCACTAGCGACACTAAGGTGGGGTTCTAACTGAGCTTTCTTACAACTATCAGAGTCACAGAGATATTAAAGAGCTAAAGTTGGGGTGCTCTAGTGTGGGCCGCGGGGGCCAGTGTAGCGTGTGTACATGGGGAGTGAGATATCCAGAGAAACGGTCGGAAGAGTGGACTTGGAAGGGCGCCGTGGATTGTCGGGCTCGGTAGGTGTTTGTTGATCGCGTGTTTGGGTGTCCGCCAGGACTAGTTAGGCCTCTGGCGGGGTGAACCGAAGTTGAGGGCGGCAACCCGCGAGGTTGTGGCTTGTGTGTGAGCAACACTCCGGATAGAGGGGTGCAGGGTAATTGGGGTGGGTGGGGCGACTGGGGGGGTGTGGTGCTTGGTAAGACAAAAAAAGAGAAACAAGAGAGGCAAGCTGGTTGAAAAGTGTGCAAAGAGGCAACCCAAGGACAAAAGGCGGGGCAGAAAGAACCAGGGGGGCCGAGAAAAAAGGGAAAGAGAAAAAAACTAGGGGGGCCCAGGGTGTTGGGACGCATCATGAGAAAAAACGCGGGAGGGGGGTCGGCTGTGGGGGCACCCTGAAAGGGTAAAAAAGGGGTCAAGTCACAATCCCGTAGCAAAACGGCCCCAAACGAAAAAGTGGTGGAGGTACGTAAGGGTTTGTCCGGAAGTAGAACTTTCAATGGTTGGTCTCGTAAGAGAAGGGGAATACTAGGGATAAATATGAGGGGGGACTATGTTAGCCGGTCAGGTCGCTCCGAAAATCATTTGAATCTCACGTCCGAAACGCCAGTAGATGTCCCATGAGGTGTCTAGCAACAGTCAGGTTCACCCGTAGGTTTTCGGCTTGATCAGTTGGAGGTGGAGGGAATTATAATTGCAGACTAAAGGTTACGGGGTTCCAATGTGGCTGGTCAGTGTATAGACTTGAAAAGTTGACGCCCTGGGGGATGTGCGAATATTATTGCTACCACACGTGAAAACTCTAAACCTGTATGAGCATGGGTCAAGTGGTGGACATCTGGGTAACCTAAATTGGTTTCCAGGACAGGGACAACGTGGACTAAGGACTCCCCAGCAGGACAACAGGAAGCCGCGCAAGCGCGCGGAGGGGTGGGGGCCCCAGGGCGCCCCCCGTGTGCTCTCGTCGACCCACAATGTGTAAGCCACAAAAGAAGGGGCACACAAAAAAGCTTGATGAAGACATTGTTCCAGGTTGGATAAGATGTTTGACTGAATCAAATGATTGGTAAAACTTTTTCGAATAGCAGGGATAAATTCGAAGGGGGTTTTGTCTAACTTCTTTAAACTGAGATTGTTGGGGCCGACAGGCAGATGATAGTAAACAATATGAACAACCGACATGTGATGAAATTGGTGGTTTGGTTGTGGGAGATATAGGCCTTTTTGATTCGAATAGAGATATTGTTATAGAGTTGAAAGCTGGAGAGAGTTTGAAACGAATCACAAAATTAAATCCAAAGTTCATGTCTTTGCAATATCCTATTCTTTTCCCTTATGGCGAAGATGGTTTATAGACCTGATTTAAAATGGAGCAATGATTACAAAGGTCATGACCCCAAAAGAGGAAGGGTGCCTATGAGAGCTTTCATAGCTTACCAGATTCAGGAAAGAGGACCTTTATTGGATACATTGTTAAAAGGTGGAAGATTGTTCCAACAGTTTTTAGTAGATTCTTACGCAACACTTGAAGAAGATCGATTGGATTACATTAGAAAAAATCAAACAAATTTGAGAAGTGAGATTTATAAAGGTATTTATGATGCAATTTCAAAGGGTGATAGTGATGCCAATAATGTGGGACAAAAAGTGATATTGCCTAGCTCATATACTGGAAGTACTAGATACATGCTTAATAACTATCAAGATGCTATGGCAATTTGTAGGCATTATGGTAATCCTGATTTGTTTATAACTTTCACATGCAATGTCAAATGGCCTGAAATTGTTAGAGAACTTGACAACAAGCCTGGATACAAAGGAGAGGATAGACCTGATCTAATTTCTAGAGTGTTTAAAATGAAGCTTGATGATATGATCAATTATATCAAATCAGGAAAAGTTTTTGGAGAAGTTGAGGCAGTGAATTTACAAACTCATAATTTCTGCTATCCTCAATTTCTATATATATATATTTTTTTTTTTTTTTTTTATGATATAAAACTTATTAGGTTTTTGTGTGTATTTGTTGCCCTCATCACAAACAGAAATTTGCACGATCGAGTTCCAAAAAAGGGGATTGCCTCATTGTCATATGTTGGTTTGGTTGAAAGAAGGTTTATAAATGCTTCTCAGCAGTAGATATAGATTCTATCATTTGTGCTGAATTACCAGACAAGGATGTGGATCCTATGCTTTATGACGTTGTAAACCAATTCATGATCCACGGTCCGTGCGGAGAAATCAATCGTAATTCTCCATGCATGCGGGGAGGTATGTGTTCTAAATCTTTTCCCAAACAATACAAGAGTGAATCAGTTTTTTGAAAAAAATGGTTTTCCCACATATAGGCGCCGTGAAGATCCAACAAAATTTGTGTTAAAAAATGGAATAAAGGTTGACAATAGCTTTGTGGTGCCTTACAATTCAGAACTATTATTGAGATACAACGCTCACATAAATGTTGAATCATGTTGCCAATCAATGCTTATAAAAATCTGTTTAAATACATAACAAAGGTTCAGATAGAGCTAGAGTAGTTTTTCAAGACAAGCCAGAGGATGAGATATTAGCTTATCTTAATTGTAGATACATATCTCCATATGACGCCGTTTGGAGATTGTTTCCATACCCTATTCATTCTCTAGAGAGCCTGCTGCTGTTAACGATTTATCCATACATTTGCCTTTAGAACAAAATGTTGTTTTCAATGGTATCAATCACTTGAATCAATTGTTAGCCAAAAGGAGGGAAGTACTACTGCTACAGTTTGGTTTAAAGAAGCAAACCAATTTTCCTGAAAACGCGAACATTTGACTATACCAAGAATTCCTCCCAAACTTTGTAACACTGGGATTCCTCGCACAACAAACTTTGGAAACCTATGAAACAAGGAGTCAATAGGTTAAATGCCTATGTACACCAAATCCTACATCGTGTGAATTGTATACTTGAAGGAATACTTTTTGAATTTGCCAAAAAGTGCCTTAATTTTGATCCAATCAAAACTTTATGGGAATCATACATCCGTCATATCAGGCGGCATGAAATGCCCTTGTTTGTTAGGAGATATATAAGAATGGATGAGGCCTTGCAATCTGTGACCACGCCCATGTTCTCAACAAGACAATTGGTTTGTACAATCATTTTGTGTTGTGATGTAAGGAAATCCTCAATTGCTTTTTGATACTTTTGGCAAAAATTGTGTATGACATTTTGTACCAACTACAGAAAAAGCTTTTCTCCTAATGCCAAATCTTATTTTGTCAGAATCTAAATTACAAAAACTTCGCTTTTGTTTGAATTAGAACAACTTTTTAACACATCCATCTAGCTCTTTAAAAAGATCATTATCTTCAATGCCTGAATGACATAAAATGTCAGAAATTAGAATTACATTGCTAAGAGAGAGTAAAATTATATGTTCATCATTTAGCAAAAGAACACTCACGTTTTGATACCACCCGCTAAACAAAGGCCAAAAAGATGTATATACTTTGTGATTAATGCTGAATGAAAAAAACCGGCCTTTTTTTTTGTTCATGGCCATGAGGAACTGGAAAAACTTTTGTGGCTCCTAGAATAGTTAAAATTAGATCTGAAGGCAAGATTGTTTTAGCTTTTGCTTCATCCGGAATAGCGTCCTTATTTTGCCCAGGTGCTAAACAGCTCACTCTAGATTAGCTTCCCTAATTGTTCGAATCCATTCCTCAACAGGTCCAATTAACAACAATCACTTGCTAGATTGAATTTAAAAGGCTGAACCTGATTGTTTGGGATGAAGCCCTATGAATCATCAACATTGTTTTGAAGCTTAGAAAATCACTTCGTGATATTTATTAATCAAAAACAAGTTCTATCACATCAAAATGCTTCCACATTTGGTGGCAAGGAGCCTTTTTTACAGTTGGTGATTTTAGGACAAATCTTACCAGTTCGTTCCAGGAGGACCAAGAGATAAATCATAACGCCCTCTTAATAGCTCTACCTATGGCCTTATTTTTTAAAATATTCTGTTTTAAAAGAAAAACATTAGGCGATCCAAAAACAGGGTTGAACAGTGAAGAAAAACGAAAATAAGTGATTTGCTCTGCCGCTTGAGGCCTGTATCCTTCAAATTGGAAATTGCCAAATAATTGATATTGACGACCAAAATGATACGAGGGGCACCGTTGGAATTGAATTCCTCAAGATATTTACTCATTCAATCCACACTAGATCCTCTCAATCAATTTATCTCTCGTCACCACAACACGGGACCAATCAAAACGGGGAAAAAAAAAAAAAAAAAAAAAAAAAAAAAAAAAAAAAAAAAAAAAAAAAAAAAAAAAAAAAAAAAAAAAAAAAAAAAAAAAAAAAAAAAAAAAAAAAAAAAAAAAAAAAAAAAAAAAAAAAAAAAAAAAAAAAAAAAAAAAAAAAAAAAAAAAAAAAAAAAAAAAAAAAAAAAAAAAAAAAAAAAAAAAAAAAAAAAAAAAAAAAAAAAAAAAAAAAAAAAAAAAAAAAAAAAAAAAAAAAAAAAAAAAAAAAAAAAAAAAAAAAAAAAAAAAAAAAAAAAAAAAAAAAAAAAAAAAAAAAAAAAAAAAAAAAAAAAAAAAAAAAAAAAAAAAAAAAAAAAAAAAAAAAAAAAAAAAAAAAAAAAAAAAAAAAAAAAAAAAAAAAAAAAAAAATTATCTGTGTTCTGGTGGCCACAGCCTCATGTTCCACTAGACAACTTGTTGGTTCAATCTTTTGTTTTTGTGATGTCATGAAATCCTCATTGCTTTTGATACTTATTATGCAATATGTGTGATGACATTTTGTACGAACTACATAAAGCTTTCTAAGGCAAATCTTATTTTGTCAGAATCGTGAATTAAAAAATTCGCTTTTGTTGAGAATTAGAAAACAACTTGTTGTAACACATCAGCTAGCTCTTCATCTTTAAAGATCATTATCTTCCAATTCCGATGAACATACTTCAGAAAATTAAGAATTACTTGCTAGCGAATTAAATTATTGTCATCATTTAGCAAAAGACACTCCATTTTGAAACACAGCTAAACAAAGGCCACAAAAGATGTAATGATTTTGTGATTAATGCTGTGTGGGAGAGTGTGTGAAAAACAACCAGGCCTTTTTTTTGTTCTGCCATGGAGAACTGGAAAAGCACGGTTTTGTGCGACTAAAGTGTGTCGCATTAGAATCTAAAGCCAGATTTGTTTTAGCTGTGCTTTCAAATCAGTAATACGTCAGTATTATGCCAGTGGTAGAACGCTCCCTAATGTAGATTCCCTTATTGTTACGAAGCCTCACATGTCAGATGTAAAAAACAACTCATCTTGCTAGATTGATTCAAAAGGCTGGACTGATTGTTTGGGGATGAAGCACCTAATCATAAACATTGGTTGAAGCAGTAGATAAATCACGTCGTGATTTTGAGCACACAAAATCTCCATTGGTGGCAGCTTTTTACTAGGTGTGTCGAGACATAGTACCCATTATTTCCAGAGGAACAAGAGAAGAAATCAGACCCTCTCGGAAGGCTCGGACTTAGGGGCCGTATGTAAAAAAGCGGGTTAAAAGAAAACATGAAGGCTATCAAAAAATGATGAACTGTGAAGAAAACGCAAAGAAGTGAGTTGGCTGCCGGGATGCCGGCAAAGTGGGAAAGGGCCAAAGAATAGTTTGCGATCCAAGGCGGAAGAGGCCCTTGGATTGAAAGTCCTCAGCTTTAACTCTTCAATCCAACAGAGAGCCTATGTGCGTGTGTCAATTTTTTTGGCACTGACCCAGAGTGCGAAAAATGTGGCCGAGGTTCTTATTTAAAGGGGACGAGGCCAGTGTTACAAGGCTAGGAAGTCACTGGACGGAGATCAATACTTACGCATAAGACTAGTGCGGAAAAAAAACGCATTTATGTTAGCCAGATTCTGTCGGTGCTCATCACCCAATTGGAAACCCTTTGTAGATCTATCCCACAGAATTTCCAATCACTTTAATTCATGTTTTGCCTGAACATAGTTTGAACTTTAAAAATAGGCATGCCTATAATTTATTGAGAACCTAAATCAATCTTCAGGTTTATGTCAATGGAACAAATTATTGTGTGTTACCCCCAAATGGTTGATAGAGTTATTGAAGCAAAAATACTCACTGTGTAGCCACATGCCACAAAGTGTTTATACCTATATCCGTTCTTTCAAGCAACAGAAACCAATGGCCATTTCATTTTTAAAAGGCGCCAATTCCAATTAGACCATGCTATTGTATGACATAAACAAAAGTCCAGGTCAACTTTAAAACAAGTTGGGTTATATCTTCCCCACCTGGTTTCAGTCATCGGGCAGCTTTTATGTCGCGTTATCTAGAGCACGTCTAGAGAAGCCTCCACAATCAGAAATAAGATAATAATAAGGAATGCCAAATAAATCCACTAAAACATAGTGTACAAAGATTTCTTCAAATTTACTCTCAGGTTTCAGCTTCTTTCATACATATTAAACATTCCTCTATTTTATGCAATAATTTTTTTATGCATCTTATACTAACGAAGGGCCTATCGTTTTTTCTTCAGATTGATGTCACAATGACTTGTTCCGATCCACAATTTGCCAACCGCTTTCAATCCAGGTGAAAATTAAAATGTGGTGTCCAAAACCTGGAGACAAAGCGTGTTCATTGTGATGATCAACTTGCCTGGTTTGCAATGTGTCTCGTTTACGCAATGGTGAGAACAGTCATTTTTTTATCCTATTTCAACTTAACCAATACTGGATCTACAGGAATTGTGTATTTGCCTAACATTAATATCTCACACCTGTTAACAAAGTCTGTATTAAATACACTCTTATTGTTAATTATACAATCTTACACCCTTGCTCTTTTGCCATAATTTTGGTATTTCCACATTTAGAAAATTCACTCTTCAAGTAGGTATAAATTATGTTTAACAACACCATTTCCTTTTTGAATCTTATTCCCTATTAAGCGTGATGCTTATCAATGGATAGTTTTTCTCTATTTTTTGCTTGAATTTATGCAATTTGTAAATACTCTCAATTTCTAAACGCATATAAATAACTGTAGCCACACCAAAAACTCCCAGTACTTCTTCTCATGTGTCCCTAACAAACAACTTCTGATAGATTTTGAACGTTAATCTGTGAATAAATTTTATAATGAGTTATTGAATGAATGATTTTTTTTTTTTGTGCTATGTTATTGGATTATGGCTCATCTTGCTGCGTTTATCTGTCTGGATAATGATTGTTGGAGTAAGTGCCTATATGATTATTTGCTGTGTGCTTAAATTTGGTGATGGACTTCTTTTCCCTCCCCTCCTGTTTTGTCATTTTTGTCGTAAAAAACGTTTGTTGAGTACTTGATATGACGTTTGGTTTTATT